GACCTGGGAGCATTAGCTAGAGAAAGACCTTGGTACCCGTGTGCCTGGCAGTATTAGCCACAGCAAGTCGTTAGGTACCTGGGAATATTAGCTCTAGAAATTTGCTGGGTACTTGAGTAGCTGGAGCAATGCTAGGTACCGGGGCGTATTAGCTGTAGAAGGATGTCGGGGGGTATTAGCTCATGAAATGCTGAGTACCAGGGAGTATTAGCTGGACAGATGCTGCATCCCAGAGAGTATTAGCTATAGAAGGATACTGGGAGGTACCTGGGAGTATTAGCTCAAGGGATGCTGGGTCCCAGGCAGTATTAGCTAGAGTACCTGCAGTATTAGCTGACGAGATGCCAGAGGGTACCTGGGGGTGTTAGAGCTGTTGGCTGGTGTTTTCCAGGCGACGGTGCTCAGCCTGGAGGATCACATCTCCTCGGAGTTCGGGAAGCTGCGGGGCTGGCTGGCCACCCGGGAGGAGGAGTGGCAGGATCAGCTGCGGCAGGCGGGCAGAGCCCAGCTGCGGGCGATGCAGAGGAACCTGCAGGAGCTGGCGGGGAGATGCCAGGCAGCCCAGGAGATGCTCACTGAGGCCCAGGCCCGCCTGCCCCAGCAGAACACCATGGAGTTCCTGACAGTGAGTCCAGCGCCTCCTAGAGGGGAAAGGCCCCGTCTCCCATTCCCTACACCTCTGATCCAGCCAATCCCTTACCATGGGGCCAGGTGGGAGTCGGCGCCCCCTAGAGGGGAAAGACCCCGTGTCTCATTCCCCACCCCCCTGAGCCAGCCAGTCCCCCACCATGGGGCCGGATGGGAGCCGGCGCCCCCTAGAGGGGAAAAGCCTCGTGTCCCGTTCCCCACCCCCCTGAGCCAGCCACTCCCAGCGCCCCACAGTGTCTTAAAGAGACAGAACTATACTAATTCCTTGTCTCTCTCTCTCCATGTCCGTCCCCTCACAGGACATAAAATCTTCCCTGGACTGGTAAGTCTGCCACTGCAGAAGCAGCTTCATTCCCTGATTCCCCCCACACCTCTATCCTCATTGCTCACTAACACACCCTATGGGGGGGGGGGTCTTCCCTCTTACATAGGATGAAGCAGCAACCGGCTACCCCTTGTGGGCCGAATGCGGGGTCCCTATCACAGACTCTGGGGCAATTCAAAGGGCCGATCCAGTATACTGCCTGGAAGGAGATGAAATCCATCCTCAACATAGGTAAGAGATGGGTTTCAGCAGGGGGCGCTCTCCCCTGGCAGTCAGGGCTGGACCCAGTGCCCCAGTGCGTCACTAGGGGGCGCTGTGCTGCAGGGAGTGGGCCGGGGGGGTTCCATGTTAAACCAAGCCTGCCCCATACCCCCCTGCTCCTTTTCCCTCCCCAGATCTCCCCCGGGTGACGCTGGATCCCGCCACGGCTCATCCCTGCCTGGTTCTCTCGGAGGATCGCACCTGGGTCCGGGACGGCCCCCTTCGCCGGCCCCTCCCCGACACTCCCGCCCGCTTCGATTTCTGCGTGGCCGTGCTGGGCGCAGGGGCGTTCGCCTCCGGGAGGCGCTACTGGGAGGTGGAGGTCGGGGAGAAGCCAGCGTGGACGCTGGGCGTGGTCCATGCCTCTGTCAGCCACAAAGGGAAGATCCATGCCTCCCCCAGCAAGGGATTCTGGGTCATTCGGCTCCGGGGCGGGGCCGAGCTCATGGCCAAGGACACGCCCCCAATGGTGCTCCACCCCCAGGCCCTGCCCCACAGGATTGGGGTGTACCTGGACTACGAAGGGGGCCAGGTTTCCTTCTATGATGCCCAGGGCATGGCCCACCTCTATACGTTCAGTGCCCGGTTTGCAGAGAGTGTGTATCCCTATTTCTGCCCCGGGCTCTACGATTCGGGGGGGAACGCTACCCCCCTGAAAATCTGCCCCTTGCCCTGAGCCAGCCAGTCCTCTGCCCTGGGGCCAGATCGGAGCCAGCGCCCCCTAGAGGGGAAAGGCCCCGTATCCCATTCCCTGTCCCCCTGAGCCAGCCAGTTCTGTGCCCTGGGGCCAGATTGCAGCCAGCGCCCCCTAGAGGGGAAAGGCCCCATGTCCCATTCCCTGCCCCCCTGAGCCATCCAGTGGCTTTATAAGCACCACCTTACACATCGAAAAAAACTCTCAAACCCATTGTGACGGTGCTGCCCGTGGGAGCCAGCTGAGGTCACTCAATCAGGGTGAACTGCAAACAGAACAGGGCAGACAAACCCCAAACGCTGGTGGTTATTCCAATACTTAGATTTACCAACCGGCCCAAAACAGCTTCTATAGGACCTCACTGGTTACGCAGAAGTCCAAACAACGCAGTTCCCTTAAAGTGCCCAGCCTCAGGCCTCCATCCTGACACACCTGTCAGATATGATGATGATTACTGAAAATCTTATCTCATCATATGAAAGAAAAGGTTCTTCCAACCCCAAAGGATCAGTCATATACCCAGGTTCAATGATAACTTAGATCTTATCCAAAATACACGCTATAGCCAATTCTTATTAACTAAGCTAAAATTCATTAAACAAGAAAAGCGAGAGAGTGTTGGTTAAAAGATCAATATACAGACAGACTTGAATTCAATTCTTGAGGTTCAGATACAGCAGAGGTGAGCTTGTAGTTGACAAAAGTCCTTTTAGAAATAGTCCATAGGTTATAGTCCAATGTCCATATTCAGGGTGGCTCCAGTCAATGACTGGGGATCTCAATCCTTGTGGCTTAAGGTTTCCCCCTCTTGAAACCCAAAGCAGATCTGAGATGAAGAAGGATCGTGTCTCCGAGTTCTTATACATTTCCAGCAGCCTTTCGGCCTGAGAAAACAATAGGCTTAATTCTCCTTCCAAACATCACGGCACTTAGCACAGGGTAATGTATCCATTAAACAGTTCCAATACAGGTTACCACAACCTTCAAAGAGACATAGAGACAATAATACTATTTCACTCAAGTATCATTATAAATGTTAATATTCCTTTTTTGATCTTTGAATTAAAGTTATAGCAATAGACAAGACTTGTTTGCTTACATCACAAGACCTGAGCAAACATCTACCCTTGAGATCTCTAACAATGCAGACTTGCATTTCAAAGCTCTATTCATTTACATATCTTCCTAACCAGTCCTTAAGGTTCACTTATGGGTCAGGTCAGTCTGAGTTAATTAACTCTTTCTGGCCCTGTCACCTTCCAA